TTTCTTTTTCTGATGAAACATCCCAACTTGCAGTTACTTTCAGCAGTAACCTCCAGATAGTTGTGTATATTGTAAAGAGAGAACTTTAATTAACAGCCTTTGTCAGGAGATCGTGATACTTTTATGTGTCTTTTTTCCCCCATTATTGATGGAAGGCACACACACACACCACAATACATCTCGCAATACTCCCTTTATTAAAACACACCGGTGACGATGTTTGCTGTTTCTTTTTAAACCGAAGAAACACATCCAGTCATGGTGTCCGTGCTGAAATTAGGTTGTGTTCAGACAATCCCTCACCTACCATTCTGTGACAATCCTTTTAGAGTTATGGAGAAATCTGAGTTAATATTCCCTTATTGAAGCATCTTGTCTTTCATGGGAGGTAGGGAATATAAAATAATTATTGCTTTTGGTAATATATATCTAAAACACATCTTGTTTAATTGAAAATATTGTCATGTATTGGTTGGTATGTTGCATAATGTGTAAAAGAAAAAAAAAAAATTGGTGATTTGCAAGTAACCACAGATTAGTTCTGTAAGCAGGAGACTGTTATTGGGAACGTATATATTGCACGTCCACGAGGCTCTGTGTCCACCGGGAACACTTTCTTCTTCTTGTAGTTTACAGTGCGAACACTCTGCTGCATGTCTCCCACAGCGCTGACAGTCTTAGCAAGACTTCAGCGCTAACAGCACCAAGCATTAGAGGTTCCATTTGTTTCAACTTCAATCAAAAGCTCCTCTAACAGGTTCTTTTTTTTAGTGCTAATAAGACTGTCGAGAGTGCTGAAAGTGTGACTTTGGGCCACATGCAACTGTTTAGCGCTGCTCCCTTAAAAGAAATACCTGGTGGAGACAAAGCCTAAAGATGGAGATTTACACTGCGCTCAAATCTGATTCTACTCCATCATAACGCTTTCATTTTCTGCACCTAAGATGTGTACTAAAAAAAAGCCCAAATGGGTGTAAATGAGGAGTTTCATTCCATAATATTACATGTCTGTTCTCATATGTTAGCAGTTTGAAATTGCTCAAGGCTCCAATGATCATGAATAGTTTGTGTAACTTTGACAAATGCTTCTTATTTTGGAATGAAACTCCATCAGATATGAGCTTGTGTTGTAGATCCAGTATTTTGTCGTCTGTTTTATACTGATAATGTTTTGGATCGGTGGTGACTGGGACTCACCGGGACTTTGTTGTGGATTGAAAAATGATAAAATGGAATAAAATATGGATTTATCTTTATGATGTTGTGGAAGGATCCTGTCTGTGATTTGATCTTTTCTCTTATTGTTTCTTGTTTGAAGGATTTTTATAGACTAGAAGAAGGTGAAGACAACAAAAATAAGCCATAAAAAATAAACAGAAATATTCTTTCTCGTCTTGTGAACCCTCGGATGAATCCTCACTCTCACACACCTTCACTGTGAGAGAGGCCAGGACTAATTTGTTGTTTTTTTTGTCTTTTGACTTCCGTACAAATGATAAAGACAAAGCTTAGAACATCTTTCCTTTTGTTTCATTTCCTCACTTTTTATGACCTCTCCTTCCCCTCCTTTCCTTTTGCCTCCCTCCCTCGCTCTCTCTCTCTCTTTATCTCCCTCTAAACTGTGCTTCTTATCTTGTCACTAGTGGTTTATTTTCCTATCCGCCCACAAAAAATGACATTGTTCCACAGCACAGGCCTCATCCTGTTCCAGTTCTTTACATACACACGCACACACACACACACACACACACACAATCAAGCCATACCATTACTATTGTCTTAAAGGTATAGTTTGGATTTTTGAAGTGGGGTTGTATGAGTTACTTATCCAATGTCAGACAGCGAGATAAAGCGGTGACAATATGCTAAATATAGCGTACACTTAAACTGATATTGATTCCTGTTTGTTAAGGCGGGCCTCTCTTTCAGCCCACATGCCCCGACATTTACCTTAAAGGATCTTCAAGGAGAGTGGAAACATCGTCGCTTTTCACACAATAAAACACTTCTGAGTCGACTCCCCGACAGTCTGCAAACGTAACATATGTGCCAATGTTTACCTTCACATATGGCAACGCTTCGTTCGGTGTGTCGGTGCCTGGGGTTTTTTTGCATAGAAGGATCCGTTCTGCTTTCTCCATCTACTGTCCTAATAAAAGCCAGTGGAGGGAGACAGAAGGGAATGGATGCAGCAAGAAAGAGAAGGAAGAGTTCCGCATGTATGACCGCCTGATTTATGTGATGGAGGAAGAGAGAGAGAGGGAGAGACAGGTAGGAAAGAGTGGAGACACAACCCACTGAGGACCAGACATTATTTCATCGTCTTGTCTCTGCCGTAACTCATAGCTCATCGTCTCCTTTCAGATCAAAGGAATATGCAAAATATTACATACTTAAACACCAAACGTGTGTCAGAGAAAGACATATTGATAATACATTTCCTCAAAACATAAGATGTAGACTCAATCCCCTTTGATTTTTGAATGCACCGTTGATGGACACTGCTGTCGCACAATGTGGATGGATGGTGATGAAACTAAAATAAAGTATTAAATCTTTGGAAAGGCATTTTACTTTCACTTTTACTAAGTTTTGTTTGAATGATTTCAACTTTAAGTGACTAAATTAAATGTATGATCCATTATTTCCATTATTACATACTATACTGGTGTATTTGTGTGTTTATGTATTTTCTCTTTTGGATTTGTTTCAAACACACACACACACACACACACACCTTTTCTCTGCAGACATTGGGCGTTGATAAGATCCTGATGATATTGGTGGTTCAGGACACAAACAAAGCACAGATGTCCCTGAGATAGCGTTAGAACCTGTGCGTCGTTAAAAACCTATCTACATCCAGTCTTTCTGTATATACTGTACTATGGAGGAGGACTGACACACGCAAGAGACCGGGAGGAGAAATAAAAATTGAGTGACTGCAGAGGAAGTGGGGAGGGCTCGCGTTGGCTTTGGGTAGATGTGGTTTCAATCATCACACATCACATCACACATGAGTGCAAAGAAAAAGAAGGAGAGGGTGATGAAGAGAAAGAGAAAACAGAGAGAGAGAGAGAGAGGAGAAGGGAGAGCCGGGACCAAAACAAACAGCAGCTCAACTTTAAACACACACCCTCAGTCTATATTACATGTTTTTAAGCTTAATAATTAATGATTTCAGTTGTGGTTTGAAGGCATAAACCTGTTGCTTGTTGATTTTGGCTGTTTGCTCTTTGTATACCTTATTTTCTCTAATAAACGGTTTGTAAAGTCAATGAATCACTGACCTGAATGGAGGGAAGAGGGAGGGAGCAGTGGATGGAGAGAACTGAAAAATATGGAAGGGACAGAAGGAGGCAGTGAGCAGTAGGAAAAACTTCTGAGAGGAAATAAAAACAATGTGAGAGAAGTGGAGCTCCCTAAAATAAGCTGTTAGCCATGAACAGTCCAAACATCCAACACTGAAGACATCTTCCTTATCTTCTGTTCCTCCTCCGGCTGTGCATTCCTCTGACTTTTATTGCTTTCTGAGGAAATTTCTTGTCCCAACGAGTGGTAGGGACGGAGAGATTCAGCTTCTCAGTGATTTATAACGGGCTCCACCGCCTAATGCAGCCAAAGCCAGTTTTGAAAAGTCCCCATTGACCTCATCCGTCAGTTGTCTGGATGGCTGAGAGCTACAATCTGCCAGACTGAAGGGTCAAAGCCTTCCTCAAAGGGACTTCTTGTCTACAACTTCAAAATACTGAGCCAAATCACGGGAACACAGAATGGCTTAAAAGGACAGTTTACTCTATACAAAATATGTATTTTTCTTATTGCTTGAAGTTTTATTTAGCTGAGTGCAATATAGTCCCATTATATTGAAGAGAAGGCAGACATGCCTATATCTCCAACACAAGGCAACTCACACCAAAACCACGTAGGGCGATAAATAGCACTCCAGGTAAGAAGAAAAATGTGTATTTTTGATTTTTGGGTGAACTGTGCCTTTAAATACCCGAACAACTCGCAAACCATTGAGTTTTGATTTTAATTAGCAGAATGCGTTAATTATGTCAGTTTATCGCGCGCAAGTTATTCACTATGACTTCTTAATGTCTATACATGACGCGTCATTCAGCGTTGTCAGGATGGCCGAGCGGTCTAAGGCGCCAGACTCAAGGTGTGATTCCTTCCTAAACCACGGGACTTCTGGTCTCCGAATGGAGGCGTGGGTTCAAATCCCACTTCTGACAGCATTTTTTTTTTTTTTTTTTTTCGTGTTTCCTAGTCGAGAGACACATCTCTTTCCTCCTGTTTCAACGGGAGGGACGTTGTCTCTCTCAGACGAGCGGTTTCCACATCAGAGCAGAGGAGAGTCGTCACCGCGCGCAGACGGAGCAACAGAGTGAAGTTCTTTTGTTTCACTCCGCGCTCTCTCTCCGGCTCAAACTTCTCCGCTCGTGTTTCTCGATGCGCGTAAAAAAAAACAACTTTTGGAGAGCACCCTCCCTCCGCCTCCCTTCCCTCTGAGTGCGTAATTAGTTGGAGAGCGTTTGGAAACTTGTGATGGCCGTGAAGAAATCTCGCTTTATTTCCGACACCTGTTGCTGAACACACCGCGCACACAGACGTACACCGCGGGGAGCGCGTTGCCGCTGATATCTGACCACATTTCTACATTTCTACATGACAAGTTCGGACATTTTGGGTACCGACAGGTCCACGGCTGGCGCTGCGCTCCCGCAAGAACTTTCGTGTGGCACTTCTCTGTGAAGGTGATCGAGCAGCGAAAGGGAGGACATTTAATGTGACACCTAGAAGCATTTATAACGCAGTGAGCGCTCTGCAGCGGGCTGAAGGGGTTTCCCTTTCAATAAAACCACCGACTTGTCTATAGTTTCCCCAGCCGGACAGAGAGTCACACTTTTCGGACTTGAGCGCTTCGGATGGTGGGAGGACAAACTTTTTGTTGGAGAGCTGAGCAACAACTGGATTCGAGCACAGCAGAACAGGTAGGACATAACATCACATTCATATATTTTTTATTAACCTAAAAAAAGTTTTCAAAGGAAAAACCACAGAATACAAGAATGCATACACACTCAAACAGTAATCGGTCATGTGGATTTTAGAGGTATGATGGACCACCTATCAATGATTTGTCCAAGAGACGCTTTTGTTTCAACCTTTATGATGGTGTGATGTGTGTATGTAATATCTGTTGGGCTCTTTCATAGTTGTCCTGACAGTTGTAAGAACTTTTAGGAGTTTTAATTGGCGATTTCTTGAACTCTTGAACTTTTGAGTTACTTTTTTACATTCTGAACAGAACGCACACATCAGATATGAATAAAAAAAAAAAGCTGGTTCAGACTTGGGCTGCTCAATTTGAACTTGTAGACGTTTGGTCCCCACAATGTTTCCGTTGTCACAGTCTACTTATTGGGCTTATTTCATGACTTTGGCTCCCATATGACAGTGGTGAAATGCAGTGTGTGTATGTGTGTGTGTGTGTGTGTGTGTGTGTGTGTGTGTGTGTGTGTCTGTGTGTCTTGCGTTGCGGTGGAGACCAGGACTATTTTGGTCGAAATGTTGCACAAATGTTTCTCTCAGGATAGAGAAGTTGCTCTGCCTGCCTTCATCTGGGCCAGAGGCTGCATGGCATCATAACTGCATGCTGACACCCATCTGACTAAGTATTGTAAACGCAATGAGGAGGATCTCCACATTTTGAGTGAAAAGCTGGCTTATAACAGATAGGCCCTCTATACATATTAGTCTATTCGCCTGTATGAGCATATGTGGCTTGTGAATGTACTGTGTTTGGTATAGGGGGCAGCTGCAGGTCAGAGGACCCCTGTGCAATCAAACAATATACCAATACATGACAAGAACTGTAAGATTTGATAACTTAAAATGTGCTCTGAGAAAAGCTTAAATGATAGGCTTTTATTTGAGAGGGTATTTTATTGACAGGATGTTTCTGAATACTCTGTAAATACTTTGGAAATGGATTCAGTTAACAACACCAAAAAGCTATTACTTGTTGATTATGGACAGCTGGTTTTATGGAGCAGCTCGTGTGTGTTTTCTCCTGTTTGGTAAGAAAACATCCATACATCAGTAGACCTATTGAGGCTTTATACTGACCTTTGAACTTTGCTAGATCTAGAAACAGTCCTTTTGTTCCACACACATTTGTTCTGCACATTTATCCCGAAGACAAGAACTTAAAAATCTGTTCAGTGGCATCATAAAACATGGTTCATTAAAAAAAAAAAAATGTGTCCTTTATTTAATCCAGCAACATCGTTGGGATTCATAAAAAGGAAATAAAGGCAATAAAAGAAAGTCATCATCGTACATCATAAAAAGCCGACATCTTTGTTGTTTGTAAAGGGCAGACAGAGCAGAGAAAGGCGAGTTTTCTCCGTCTGGCAGCACATGTGAAGGTTCTGACAGAACGTCAAGGCCGTCTCTGGTGGTGACGTCTCCGGTTCCCCTCGCACTTTTTATGGCTTGAAAAGTCTGAGACCCACCTGAGCTGTGGAGCAGATTGACAGCAGGGCTGATAAAACCTGAGGAAGTGTGTGTGTGTGTGTGGGGGGGGGGGGGTTTAGTAACGTTAGATGTGTAGATAGAGGTGGTGAAAAGTTTTGCTGTCAACAAGTTGGCCATTAGAGAGAGATAATCTCTCTTCCTCCTGCCTCCCCGTCTACCAAGTCAACTTCTGGTCCTTCTCTTCCCTCCCGCTCGCTCTCTGTCATGACGTACATGTTCTCTTTACTTTTCTGCCCTTTTGTTCACTTTTCTGTCCTGTATCATGTTGGATTTGATTTTCAAGATTGTGTGCAACTGAACCGACTCAAAACATTATCACTTTAGCTGGAAGATGAAATAGTTTTAGGATTATATTGCTCTTTCTAAACCTGTTAATCTCAAAATGCCTTTGGTTCAAGGCTCAAATTGGTGTTTTTAAAAGTTCTTAAATGTGCAGAAGTAGTTGGTTTAACCCAAAATATGGATTTGTTTCTAAGGAAGAAGTAGCCCTTTTCTCATGTAATTTTTTTCTTTGCCTCTGTCTGTCTGTCTGTCTGTCTGCCCTCTAACGGGAGAGAAAGAGCTTTTCTTTAACCAAACACTGAAGTGCTGCTTGAGTGTCTTGTCCCTTGGGACTCGGTAATGAGGGAAGGGGAGTAAGTGTGTGTTGTGTGTCTCCACGCTCGATATATGAGAAGATGGGATGTCTGCAAGCATCAATGGATCCTCAAGGTCATTCAAGAGTGTATTGTAAAGTTTGTGTGAGTGTGTGTGTCCCGTATGTTCACACACAATGGGTTTAAAAGCAAGTAGGAATATTCTCCAATGTGAAGTGGCCGTCAAGTAGACTTTCCACAAACTCTTCAGTGAAAAATCTGCATTAAGAGGTTAAAGTCTGAATGTGTGTTTCTGTGTGTATGTATGAGTGCATGTTTGGGGACAGGGGGTGGGGGTCTTTAACACTGGATGTGTTACATGAGTGTGTATTTTTGCCCAGTGGGAGCACTAATGACTAACATGGACACACACAGATGGTGGTCCATGTGAAGAGGATGGCCTCTCCAGTTGAAGAGCCAGTATTTTAAACGCAGGTCTCTGATTGGTTGACTTGAATCCTGGGAATTCCTCCCAGGACAGTGTATGATAGCGTCCGGCTTAACCCCTCCACTCCTGATTTGTGTGTGTGTGTGTGTGTGTGCGCGTGTGTGTGTGTGTGTGTGTCTGTTTGTGTGCGCGTGTGTGTGTGTGTGTGTGTGTGTGTGTGTGTTTGTGCCTCTAAGGGTTTTGCACTTTGGCTCGGGACAAAACAAGGCATTTGGAAATATCACCCTCAGCTGTGTGAACTTTAGATAGATATATAGATAGCTATACATATATAGATATAATATATATATATATATATATATATATATTATTGACCAAACAATAAATCAGCGAATCGAGAAAATGATCAAGATTAAGATTATGTTGTAATGTTGTGAGTTTTATATTTATGGTTAATTATTCCTTTTTTTCTTCTTGTAACCCTGTTTACCAATTGAGGAGTTCAGAGTCATTTTAACTATTATTAAAAACATACAACATATACACTTAGAACATATTTCCTTTCATGTAAGACCAGAGTCAACATTATACCACCCTGAGAAAGGCAAGATAACATTTAGGGAAATAAAGCATAGCTGAATATGCAAATATTTTCATTTCAAAATCTAATCATTTTCTAAATAGATGGAAATACTGTTGTTTCTTGATTGTCCTTTTCACTAAAATATAAAAACTGTAATACACGTTTATGACTTGATTCAGAGGCAGCAGCCTGCAATGACGCTGCTCCGTGTGTGTGTGTGTGTGTATGTGTGCACATTTCTGCATTTTTTTTGTGCAGTCAAAATGTGACCCTGTGGTATTCCTTACCGTGTCTGCGCTTTCTGCATTCTCGACGCCTGCACGTGTGTGTGTGTGTGTGTGTGTGTGTGTGTGTGTTTTAGGCTCTTCAGGGCCGGCGGTTCAGGGCTATGTGGTGATGTCATTTGGGCGGCAGGGTGGGGTGACATGGGGTTAGAGTTTGGCAGAGGTCCTGACTCCATCAGCCCTCAAAATGTGTCTGACCAGGAAGTATGTGGCTGTCCCTGCTTGTCTGTGTGTGTGTGTGTCATCCTGTATGTGTGTGTGTGTGTGTATGGTCAGTGGTAGCGGTCTCCAGCTGTATGCTTGCAGTGTCCTACACTAATAGTAAAAGTGGTTTATGGGACACTTTATAGAGCCTGAAACCGTTTTGAAAATCCGGCAGGCCGATACAAGGGGACAGTCACAAACCAAACAACCACAAGACACACAACCTGTGACCAGAGGAGCCTGAGTTACTGAGCACTGGTGTAGTAAAGGCTCACCACTGATTTGATTTTACATACAATCCAGGTTTCCACCTCGATAATACAACAAGAAATGTCTTTCACCAACAATACTTGAATCGTATGTAGTTGAACATGTAGAGTTTTACTCGATACACTCTCGTTACAACCCAACTCTTCTTCACTCCCCTGGAGTCAACGAGGTATGAACCGGTACTAGGGGCCGAGCAATCGAACTATTCTATCAAACAAATACGTATTTTACTCAGCCCCGAATCTAGATCGAGTCCCAAGGTATGGTGTGACATAATGTGGAGAGCATGCATTCAGTGTTTTGGCTCCGCTCCGTTGTGTAAGGGCATATGAATGGAACAACCCATATAAACAGCGAGATCATTACAGAGCCAGCCTCTCTCCTCTCCCCTCCCCTCTCCTCTCAGTTGACCCGATCCAGCGCTGATAAAACTATCAACAGCCCACCTGCACCGGGTTTGGAAAGATGTCTAACTCACACACACAAATACACACACACTCTTGGCCATATATGAACCCAAACCCAAACAGATGGGGACAGGAATCTTATTTAGCGTGTGCTCACTACAATAAGCCGATTCTCTTCTGCTCTTAACTCTCTCTTTCTCTCGTTCCTCCCTTTCTACCTCAGTGTTTTCCCGTAAAACACCTCATTCGATAAGTTCCATCACTACATAGTAGAGCTAGTCCTTTAGTATTTCCCTGCAATGTGTTCATAATTTAACAGATATCAGGCTCTGTGTTTAACAGGTTCAGTTTACGGGTGTGTACTGCACTTTACAGTGTTGTTCCTGCCATATGTTAAAGAAGTGGTGCCATGCTCACTCTTAAGTGTTGTAGAGGTATTCATCTGCTAAATGGATTGGGTTACATATATTACATACAAACGTTAATTCTCTTACAATACTGAGCTCAGGGAATATCTCCTCTTGAAAAGTCCAGCGCGCAAAGTGGGGCTCAGAGTGTTTATGGACCCTTTAGAATTCATTTTTCCTCAGAAGTATCTGCTTATCAGAAGGTCTGTACTCCTGGCTACAGTCTCTCAGTGAGTGATTGATTGATTGCCCTACTGCCTGGCATGCCTTGCA